AAGAACTTGCCAACTTATTTAAAGAAGTGTCTCATAAAGTTCTTAATGCCAAAAATGGGCAAGTTATAAATTTTAATAAATTTGTTACTTAGATTAAAATTAATTTGTGAGGCCTACTTAATGAAAATTTTTCGTTTTTATTTAACTCATTTTTGTTTTTATTATTTTCTAATTCTCTCTTATAGCAACTTATCAGTCTATCGTTAAATTTCAATGCTTTTTGAAACAACTTCCAAATTAATAAAAATTAAAAAAATTTTTCATTAGTTGCTTTTTTAAACATATCCTCAAATATTCAGAAAGTATAATTGCTTATTTCAAATTTTATTTCATGACTTTATGTTGATTATTTTACTTAAGCCAACTTCAACAACTAACCTATTTTTGTCCTTTTTTCAGGTCTAAAGAATGCCTTATCTCCATAATGAAAAAATTAAATTCAAGAGATCCACATGCTTCACTGATGGCACTTAATGTATGAAAACTTTGGTCATACTATCTTAATTGATGTCTTATTTATTTACACTTTTTTCATAATGTCATTTGGAGTTAATGACCTATTGTATCTTCCAATGTTTCATTTAACAGTTGATGAATTTATGTTATAATTTTTATGTTTACATTCATAGTTGTTGGAATACTGCGCTCAGACCTGTGGCCACAAGTTTCGACTGGAAGTTGCTTGTGTGGAGTTTGCTGGAGAATGTAGATCTCTACTCAACAGTGGCAGGGTATGTTTCACATGATTATGCCTCAAGAGGTAGTTGTATTTTTTTTTTCATCCTTTGTATCTTTCTATATTCTATCCTTTATTGTTGTATCAATTCATAAATTTATTTTTTGCATTCATTTGTGCAGTTTTGATTGTTTTTTTGTATTTTTAATGGCAATTGTTTACAAATAATAATGCAGACCTTCGTCATGTTTTCTTTGCACTTCCTTCATCGTGGCAGACATTTTTATCTCACATTTTATGTAAACATTTTTTCTGTTGGGCTTCAATTACTTGAAAGAGCAATTGTATTTTTTTTTATAATTTTAAACTATTATTATTTGATGAAATAAAATTTAAAAATATCATTCAGCTGCCAAAGAATTGTTCAGAAAAGTTGAAAGCACTAATCAAAAAGTGGGCAGAGAATGAATTCAAATCTGATCCAACATTATAGTATGTTTTCTTAGTTAATGCTTCCTTCTTTTTTCTCTTTCTTCCTTTCTCTTTTGTCTGGATGTTTTAATTTTAGAATTTCATATAGATTCTTATACAAAACATGCTATTATAATTTTCTCATTATGAAATATTAATGTTAATAAATCATGGTTTGCTAAGATAATTTAGTTGTTCCATCTTATTTATGCCTACTTGTTTTCTCATTTCAGTTGCGGTTATATTAACTATAATTATATTTGTTGGTTTGTTGGCGTGAAACTATTAAATAAAATAAATCACACCTCATACAACCAACTAATCTACCATCCAACCAACTAATCTACCATCCAACCAACCAACTATCCAACCAACTAACCAACCAGCCACATTCCCCAGCTGTACATGCAGTTAAAGAATGAGGGCTACACATTCCACGTCTCAGAAGAGGAGGAGGTTCAATTTTTGATTCAAATTTTTGTTTTATTTGTTTGTTTTTTTTTTGTTTTGTTTCCATTCGATCAGCAATTCATTCTTGAAATTCTCATCTCTTTCGCGTTTATGTTTTCTGTAATTTTGTTTATCAGTTGATGGATCATTGATTGATGTGAGTTGAATGATTTCTCAATCTCTCAATATAAATCACAAATTATTTATTGATTTGTTCAATTTTTTAATAGTTGAATTCAGTTTTTTTTCTGCCTTTTTGTTCCGAATATAATGAAGATTAAATAAAATGAAGTGAAGATAAAGTATTTTTAATTTTTTTCTCAGCCAAAACTTTCTTTAATGGGCATGTTGACCTCAGAAGATGATGACCTTGCCAAAGGTTAAAATTTCTCAATCTTTATACTCTTTCATAACTTCGGTCTTAACGATCATAAAATCCTATCCTAACATAATATTTTCGAGTTGGTGAGCACTCCCTACATCCACTTCTTCTATCACTGCTCAAATCTGTTCACTAAGTTTTTTGGCTTTGCTGTAAAAAGCTTTAATTGGCTGTTTCATTAAGCTGGCTGTTTCATTCACTAACCCTTACTCTTCCATAAATTATCTGGGGGAGAATTTGGTGGTGAAATAAAGATTGAGCTGACTTGATGTCTTGTGGCAGGGATTATAATATTTTGGACTGAATCAGGAGGGGATGTTTTCCAATGGCACCACCTCCTTGTATATTAGTGCGTGATTTTTGTTTTCTTCCAAACATGTCCATCTGTATGTTTCAACTTTTTATGAAATGCTAACCCAAAACGTGTTATGTGTCTGCCACTGAAATATTCAATTCATATTTTTATGACTTGTTGGAAATAAATTTAGCGTAATTTTAATTTTTAATATGAATTTATCTGTCATTTTATAAAAATGCTTCATTATTCTAATTTAATTTTTTCTTATTCAGCCATTGCACTGTCATTGAAGGAGACAACGCTTAACAAGCAAGCAACTTCACAGATGAATAAATCTGTTCATCAAGATGTCAGAGAGGTTAGTTTGGGCGAATGAGAGATTAATTGTTTTATTGAACGATTGTGTAAATGGTTGATTGTGTTATTGGGTGTTTAAGTGATTGATTGGATGGTTGGTTCATTGATTGATTAAGTGACTGACTAGAGATGATTTCCAAATTGAGTCACTGAGTTTTGAGCAAGTGGTCAACTCATTGGTTTATGGGATCGAATAACTGGATGGTTAACTTAAGGACCAATCGATTATACTTCTCATTTTAACCCCTCAACTGATCTCTTGTTTATGAGCGCTGATGAAAGGTTCTAATTCAGTTTATGCTAATTTGTTGCATACTAAACCTTCGTCTTGATTTGGGCTCTACGCTGCATAAATTTATTATGATTATTTATACAAAAAAATTTAAAATTCTTCATTCGCAGTTAACTTGCACACAACTTGCCTTACACTTAACTCGTTGATACTTAATGTTGGCAACATTTAACCCCCCACCACCACCACCACCAGGTGAAAACGTTGTATGATTTTGAGGCTGTTGAGGATAACGAGCTAACCTTCAAAGCTGGAGAAATAATAAAGGTGCTTGACGACAGGTTGCTCATAATTTTTAATTTTTAATTATAGTATGTGAGTTATAATAATAGTATGTGTGAATAATAATTGTAATATGTGAATAATAATAGCAATAATAATAATAATATGTATGTGATAATTTCACATGGTGATTGAGCCATCAGTATTACAATCCCATGTTTTAATTCTCATATCTCGTTAGTTTAGCCGCACGTGAGAATGTAATTTTGTAAGTTTTAATTGAGGCAAATGATAATACTTTGTACAATGACTAAGCAATGATCGTGCTATTTGATGTTAAAATTTGATGAACTGTTTTAAAGTGATCCGAACTGGTGGAAGGGGTCGTCGTGCAGAGGGGAGGGGCTGTTCCCTGCTAACTTCGTTACTGCTGATCTGACCACTGATATCGAATCGGAAAAGGGTTGGTGATGATTGGTTGTTTGTTCGTTGATGAATATTATTTTGATTGGTTATGAATGGTGGTTCGTTGATGAATGATTTTGATTGGTTATGAATGGTGGTTCGTTGATGAATGATTTTGATTGGTGATGATTGGTGGTTGTTCGTCGCTAGATGATGTTGATTGGTTGATGCTGGTTTGTTAGATTGCTAATTTTATGTCTGGCTGATATAGGAATGAGTGTTATTAAGCTTTTTGTGTGGTGGATGTTGCGAATGTTTTCATGATTTTACAATTTTGAGCTGTTGAGACACTATAAATATTAATTTCATCATTATTATCACCATGTGCAAGTATTTACACATTTTTGTGAACCAGCTGCTAAAGTACGGAAGTCTGTCCATTTCCAGGAAGAAGTGGAGGTTGTCGAATGTTCCACTGTGTCTGAAATTGACGAGGTTTGTGCCAGCTTTTTCTGCGTATATTTAAGAACAGATTAGCTGTAGGTATGATTGTCTAATGATTAAGACACCTCGTCCTGTTGCTTCAGCGAGTGGGTTAAAATGCAAAGTAGGCGATGAGTGGATTAATGAGTACACGTGCAATGCGTGCGTGTGTGTGAGTGTGTGTGTACTGTTGATATCTCTGAGAATATTAATAGAGATTTAATAATAATTAAGGTTGTATTTTTATAAGAGTGCCTTGTGAAACTTTTAATTTAAATTTCTACAGATCTATCTTATTTTATCTCATTATATCATTAATTGATTCATTTCTTCATTTGTTTAACTTACGTAGGAGAAAATTAATGAGACGTTGAACCTCATTCAAAACTCCGACCCAGAGGAAGACTGCGATCCAGCAGAACTCTTACAACTGGAAGGTCGTTGGGATGTGGTGCAGTCGTTTCTTATAATTCTCCCTCACAGCTAGATTGAGCGATGATTCATTTTTCACTTTTTATAAACATATCTCATGATCTGCTTGTTTAAAACGCGTTTCAATAAAATAATTGAAGCTTGCTCGACAATTTTTAGAACCGCTTAATCACCCTCATGTTCTTTCTTTTAAATATTCCATTAATCTTCGAACAATGGTGACAGTTGTGATGATAATGGTAATGTGTAGGTAGTACTGATAGTAAGCAGAATGTTAGTTCAGACATGATGAATGTGTGTTGTTTTATATTGACATCTGCAGAGCAGTGCAAGTCTATGTCTCCACTGATTGACCAGGAACTTGAGAAGATAGACAAGTAAAGTTCTCTTTTTAAATATCCATGTGCAACAACTTCTGATCTTACATTTCTAATACATTAGCATTTTGTTGTGATGATAAAATGAGTTGATAGTTGTTATTGGGGAATTCTCAGTGTCGTCTAGAGGCGGTTGTCTCGGTTGAGATATTTTGTTCTGCTAAGAGGAGTTCCGTTTCGTTAAATATTATTATGTTGCACAAATACCACCACATTACAAACTTGCACACACCATTGTACAAGCCCTCATCATTTTACAAAGCCAGACACCATGTTACACATTGGTACACATCATATTACAAACACACGCACACTCAGCATATTGTAAGCACATACACAAACACACACTCCATCTTACAAATATGCACACGCCGTATTACAAACACATACGCACACCCCATTACGATCCCACACACACCATATTACAAACACATTCACACGCCATACCACAAACACGTACGCCTTATTAACAAACACACACGCCAAATTTCAGACACAAATATACATCACATTACACATACACACACCATATTACAACACACACACCTTATCACACACACACACGTCACAGACAGCACATAACACTGATGGAGTACAACCAGAAAGTTACAGACGCATTCAACATGTACCACTCGCTCATGGCCGAACTGCCCATGTACAACTATCCAATCAAAAATCAAATGAATGACCAGGTACGTAAATAAATACATCGATTTAATTGATTAAAACATTTCTTTCCTAACATTTTAATTCCAGTATCGAGATAACTTATTTGTTATGTTCTCGTTTTTTAGAACCTTCATTTCATTTTGGTTCACCAAAAAATTGTTACTGGCTGTATTATGAAGAAATTATTATTGGTCCTCCTAATCTAACCACTGAAATAGATTATAAATGTTGAACTATAGTACTTGAACCCAAACGTCGTTCGCAAACATTTTATTTTACTTTCGGGTTTTGTTGTTACCTTTAAATCATTATTCACAAACGTTTGGTAGGTTTTTCCATAAAAATTATAATATATCCGTGACGTCGGTGCAGCTCTTGCTTGCTGTACAGTTTATAATGGAAAGAATGCGACAGGGCAATTCCACGTCTGAAACTCTATGAATCTAACATTTGATTTTATCGCGTTATTAATTTGATATATTTTTCTGAATGTTATGTAATTAACTATCCGTTCAAATCATCAGGTGGTTGCTCCATCCACTTCTTCATTTCCATCATTCCTTCCATCGTTCAGGTATTTGTTCATTTATTCATTCAAATGTTTGTGGGTTTTTTCCGTTATTCTATTTTTTATTATTCTTTTGTAACTTCTGCGACAGCAGTGAGACATTTGCTAGATTTGTGATGTTACTTCTTTCGCTTTATGGTTCCACAAATTTTATATTTTTGTTTGGAGTTAATTTTCCAGTTAAAGCGCCTAATTCATTTGCATAATCATTCAATAATTTCGATTTTTAGTTCTAGTTTGCCGGGGCAGATGTTGTTACAGCAGCATCAACAACAGCAGAGAGTGCAGGATATGTCGTTGTACACAGTCAAGCAACCAAACGGACATCAACAACAACATGCTCAGTTTTACGCACCACAGTCACAAATTCCACCTCTTCAGCAGCAGCAGCTACCACAACAATTCAAGCAAGAAGCAACTGTGCAACAACAAATGCACGCACAACACATCCCACTACTGCCACAACAACAAATTCATCTACAGCAAGTTGGACAACAGCAACAAATGCTCAACACTTTCCAACAACCAGTCACCGCTTCGCCTGATTTAATTTGATTTAAAATTTTTTTTTCTTTAAAAATTTAAGTGTATTGAAATGCTGAGGGAAAAATTTATAAGTGTGCTATAGCCGGATATTTATTATCTAGTTATGAATATCATAATCGTTGTAGTTATTTTATCATTACGAACATTGAATATTAAGCCCACCGGTTTGATAATTTGCAGAAAATCGTCACTATGTTGTACAAAAACTTAATCGATTTCTTCATTTTATTCCGTTGCCTGTCGTTATTGTGTTTTCGAAGAACTGGTTTGTTTTGCGAATCAAGATTAGAAATGCATGGCCTCAATATGTTTTTTAATATTTTCAAGTTAAACTAGGGTCGTCATCATTCTCTATATTACCTTAATCATAATCAAATCATCCACTCTGTTTCCGTTGTTTAAAATCAAATCAGAAAAGAATTAAATTATTCCAAGATGTTACTCATTATTTTCCAATCACCTCTTGATAGAATCACTTCTTGATAGTCAGTGTTCTTTGTTATTTAACGACACTGTTCAGATTCATTTGTTGGCAGTGGCTGAGATAAATCGTCAATAAACTAGTTCATCAGTTCAGTGAACTTCATGGCCGTGACACTTCCGTATATGTCGTCGCTGTTCCGTATGTGCGTAATAATGCACTTGAACGCATTTAAAACACGCGGTACGTCGGAATAAAGGTTGGTACGCAGTATGCATTTCTCAGTTTGATGTGAGGCGGTGTAAAAGGTGTTAAGTACTGGTTTTCAGTTGGTACGAAATTTTCTCGTTTTGAGTAGATGTTAAGTTTTATTTATTCATGAAATCAAAGCACGTAATTAGTTGAAATATAAAACTCGTCCCGTGTGTGATTCACTATTTGCTCGTGATCACTTGAAATCTGACGTGTCAATAGGCAGAGCTTGTTTACGATAGATTAGTGTCCTGTAAATGGTGTTTCCTCTTCTTAATTTCAAAGTTAAATTCAAAAATTTACAGATCGTCTTACAATAAAATGACATAGAACTTAAACAACGAATTAATTACAAAAGCGTTGTGAATCATCATCAAACGATTGGGCTTTCCGAGTGGCTTATACAACGGCGATGCAGATTTTTTTCTTTGAATTGTTGAAAAACAGCGTTAACAATAGAATAAACGTTGTGTGTACTGTGTATGATGTGTGTATGTATATACCTATTTATGTGTGTATGGGTGAATGCATGGATAGATAAATGGGCGATGCGTTGTTCAGATTGAAGACTTCTAAGTTTTTATAATGCAGAATTTTAGACAGACTCTATCTACATTTCATTTACGATCTGTATGAATTTATTGATAATAACAAAGGTAAATACCATAGATATTTTAGCATCTGTTACAAACACTTCAATCAACGAAATGATATTAATGGATATATCAAGAGTTGAAATTCTATGATGCGTTGGAAAATATGTAATATCATTGTTTTTATAGTTTTTATAATGCATAATGTTAGACAGACTCAATCTTCATTTCATATACGATCTGTATGAATTTATTGATAATAACAAAGGTAAATACCATAGATATTTTAGCATCTATTACAAACACTTCAATCAACGAAATGATATTAATGGATATATCAAGAGGTGAAATTCTATGATGCGTTGAAAAATAAGTAATATGCTTATCGTTCATAATAAAATTAATATATATAATAAATACAAACAATGTATATAATAATTACAAACAATGTGTATAATAATTACAAACAATGTGTATAATAGTTAAACATAATCGATATACGTACATTCTATAAATATATTATTATTATTATTATCAAACGGGCAGATCAAACTTGATTCAATCCAGCCTCTCTCATGTTGGTTCAAAAGCGTAGAACAAAATTTTCCCGCCCCCCCCCCAAGAATAAAATCAAGAGGAGATCACACAGAACTTCGTGATCCTACCTTGAGACTTGTTTTGGGTACATGCAAAGAAGTATTTATTAGACCTCAATTCATATTCAGACAACTTCTTTTATAATTTCTTATGAGTCTTGTAATGTTTTCATATATTGCATATAATGAAAGAATGCGTTCCAGTATTGCTCACCTTTAGACTACCACTGAACACCCACCATATAATATTTCTTTATATAATATCTTAACAATATTCGCGTCTTTGGTCAAATTCGTAAGTCTTCCTAAAATGACGTACATACAAGAATTTCCTTGCGGAAATTTGGGTGGCGAGATGGTATGTTATTTAAAACGCCTAGTCCTGCGGTGACTGTTTTCGAATGCAACTAAGCGAACAGATTCCCATATAATGTGCGTGTAGGTGTGTGATGTGAGTGTGCGTGTAGGTGTGTGTGTGATGTGTGAGGCAGGTTCGCATGCGCTCTGTGTGCAGTCGAATAAAAAATAAAAATTAACAACAACAATAATATGTATATTAAAAAAAGTATACTTAAGATTAGTATTTTGAAAACGTGTCTCACGAATCGATTATATATACATATATATTTATTTCATAATCCACATATATGTATTTATTATATATCATTTATATATATATGTATTATATATATATAGATATATGTATATATATGAGTGAAAATAGTTGATCTGTTATTATAATATATATATATATATATATATATATAGATGTTTATACATGTATATATGTTGGTAATAGACCATAATGAAATTTATAGAACATGTATATATAATATATGTATATATATATATACATATATATACATATATATATATATATATACATATATATATACATTTATGTATTCCTTAACAACGTAACGAGCGGGGGGAACGACTGAGCTTCAGACGATGTCTGCCTGCCTATCGCTCTATTTATAGATTGGTTATTTTTGACGTTTGTTTTTCATTAAATCTGCAATTACTTCGATACAATTATTAGCAATTGACTGAATTTATTTGTAAATATTTTTCACAATTTTTCGGATTACCTACTTTTTTATACTATTTTTTTGCAAACAATAACCGAAAAAATTTTCCGTGTTTCCCTGATCTGATCTGAGCAGTTTGCAATTGTTTCTCATTTTTCTAGTAAGTTTGTTTATCTCTTTTCAGCAAATTCATAATTTTTGTGATTATTTAAAAAAATTGTCATATACATGTGCTATTGTAATTGTATCTACTAGGAGGCTGGCCATGCCATGTGTTTTTTTTAATATGTAATTTATAATTATTAAATAAAGCATTCATTGTAGACTTTAATTTAATATGTGTAGGTGATAAATAATTCAAATTTAAATGTTGGGGTTGTATGTAATAAAATGTTTTTTAATATTATTTTTTTAGTACATAATAAAATAATAAAAATTAAAATAACATGAAAATTAACGTTAGCTTCTTAGCTTCATTAATCATAGCAATTAATAATTAATTTTAAATGTAACTTCAAAGTTAAGATTGATTAATCATGAAAAATATTAATACAGAATTGATAGAGAAGTGATTATTATAATTATAATTATTATAGTAGTAGGAGTTGGTAAGTTCTATGTTGAACTACTCATGAAGTCACAAGTGGTGTGATTGACTTGATTGTTTATTTGTTTAATAAATTGGTTAATTTTATTTAATTGAGGTGTGTGTGTGTGTGTGTGTGTGTGTGTGTGTGTGTGTGTGTGTGTGTGTGTGTGTGTATGCTTTTTATAAACAACACTAATAAAATATTTAATAATAATTGAATAAATTGATTCCTGCCTTGCTTGTTCAATAACAAAAATTTATAAAGAATGGTAATTTTATGTCAATGTGTCAATTGACCAGTTTGATTTTTCTAATGAATAAATTATTAAATTTTTTAAAAACCAAATTCCAGAATTGTGGTCACCAAATCATAATAATGGAAGGTGAAAATGGTAGCAAAATAACTAAAGAGGGCTGGCTTTGGAAAAGAGGTACACTTTTGATTTATGCTTACTAGTAAATAAATACTAATTTAATTTATTTAATACTAATATTTTTATTATTTGACCATTCAATATTGATTAGCATCTTATTATTTATTGATCAATAACAATTTCTTAGTAATCTGTATTTATTGTCTTTCGTTAATCACTGAATGAAACCAAGGAATTTTTGAGTTTGTAATTGAAGTTGTGCTTGTTGTAATCAGTAACTTGTTTGAGTCCAGGATGTTGCACCATGGTCAATATGTTGCTGATATGTTTTTTTCAATTATTTTGAATGATTTCATGTTGTTCATACTCATAACAAGCCTATAGGTATTTCTTTTATATTGTGTACTTGAGTCATAGAATAATTAAATTAGGTGACTGTTTTTCTCCCTGTGTTCTAAAAGTAATTTCTAGAAGTATAGTAGGCATTTTTCCGCTGCTAGCCTTATTTTCTAAATTTCAATTTATTTTCAAATATACAGTTATATTGTAATTTTTAATTTTTATATATAGACAGCATGTTTTTATGGTAATATGTAATCACTGTTAAAATATTTATTTTATTATCAATGCTTAAGGTGATTGTGATGTGTTGTGTGTGTAATATTTCATTCCATTATACTATTATAATTGCTGTAGATTAGGAAACTGGAAATTTTTTAAAACTCAGTTTCCAATTGTTGTGGTCATGTTTCTGTCTGATTTATGAAATATGTTTTAGTGCTTGGATTTCATTTTCACATATCAAAATTGAAGATTTGCAGTCACTAGATTTTTTGTTCATGGTATATCTTTGTTTGTCATCTGTCATTCTATTGCTGTCATTCTATTGCTGTGAAAGAGTGGACTGTAATCTACATATTTAAATTATAGAATTGATTTACATTAAGAATGAGTTTTAAATGAATGTTTCTTCTTTTCTGTCATCCATGAAAAAGGAGTAAAATACATATGGCTGGCAGTCCATTGCTGTTTTATTTACATTAGTCTTGAATTTTTTTTATAAATCATTAAATGGTTATAAATTAGTTGTCTTATTGTTAGTTGAAATTTTTATGTTGGCAGGAGTTGGTTTAAATCATGCTAGTTTTTTTTATCTGACTAATTATGGTTTAAAAGGAATTTTTGTTTCATCCATTTTTAAATTTTTGTGTAAGCATCTTCCTGGTGTGAGTATCCAATCCACCATCAACTGCAAATGATTTCTTTATGTGTATGCAGATTTAAATAAAGTTTTGATCTTTTGAAAAGTTTACTGAATTTGGTTGCTATTGCTCCATTCCATTCATTTTTGAAAGTAACTTTTGTCAAGACATTATAGGTAATAAAACTTACTTTTCAACTAGGCGTTAATAATGTTCACGTTGTTCCATTGTTGATGTTGATTTTAGATTTAACAGAATAATTTTCCACATTAGAAGTTCATTCCTGTGTTTTGGAGTTGCCTCACTCCACATGATCTGCCAGTGATCATGTTATCCACATTCCTTGATCATTGTTGTCCCAAATTTTTATTCAGCCTGTTTTATGATAATTATTTACAATAAATATTGCATTTTAAAGTTTATGAGTTTATATGAGTTTTTATGTTGTTTAATTATATTCGTAAATGTTGTTTTTCAATAAACACTGATTAATATTGAATAATTTATTCATATTTTACAATGAATGATAAAATGGTATAGTTATTTTTATATGTTAAGATATGGAGGACAAATAATCATTCATAATATCAAGCGCATTACATCTGAAAATGACTTGCCAATTACTAATTATTAACATAAATAATTAACATTTGGACTTGAAATTAATTCTTCAGGCGAACACATAAAAAATTGGAGAAAGAGATATTTCATCTTAAGAGATAATGGCACATTTTATGGATTCAGATGCAAACCAGAGCATGACCAACAGGATCCACTAAATAATTTCACCGTCAAAGGTCTGTCCGTATGGTGTGCACTCCTCTGTGGTTATCTGCTGTTTCAGTAGCTGTTATTTAAATTATGCTATATTTATCTTATTCAATATTCAACTTAATCTTCCACCTCACTAACTTTAATTTTTCTCTCACCACTTTTTATTATGTTATTAAATTTTTTTTCTTTATATACATTTATTTTCAAGTCTCATTTTTTAATTTATTTCAAACTAATCAACTTTGTCCTTATCTTCTCTCATAAACTTTCACAATCTTTTCAGATTGATATCAGTTTGTAAGCATTTCAATCTTATTAGTCTCGATTCATTTTTCAAAATATCTCTTTCAGGTGCTAAAATAATTTTATTGCTGGCAGGTTGTCAGCTGATGAAGTTTGAAAGGCCAAGACCTAACACGTTTGTGGTGAGGGGACTGCAGATGACGACTGTTGTTGAGAGAATGTTCTCACTTGATACACAAGAGGAAAGGTGAGTCTGGGCTGTGTTATGTGCTGTGTTATGTCATAGATTTCTAGTCTAAGGAACCTCTATGCCTATGTCTAGATATCTATGGTTATCTGCTGTGTTATGTGTTGCCCTGTGAGTCAGGCTGTCCTGTGAGTCAGGCTGCATGCCACCTTCTGACTTTGTGTAGAGTGAGCTTTTTAATGGGCTTGATAAGCCTGGTATTCATGATGTTAAGGATGGAGATATGAATGATGAAGTTGATGAGACAACATGCATAGGTAATCTCGTTAATTAGGAACTTTTTATATAATTTTGTTATGCTAATTCTAGCAATATAATCAAGGAATAATTAAATGTCTTTTTGGGTGATGAAAAATTATGCCACAAACTAATTAGGCAAAAACTGCATTTGAATGCCTGGATTGTATAATGGGCTAGTTTTATTTACTCGAAAAAAGCAAATGTGTGCGTGAGTGCTTGCGTGTGTGTGTGTGCATCATGTTTATTCATAGTAAGCTTTCTCAGTGGAGGTGCCACTATTTCAATGGCAATAATTGGTTAGATTGGTTTGGTATTTGGTTATCAGCGGTGTAATGATCATCAAGGTGTTGAGATTGTGTAAATGATGTTGGTACTTCTGATGACAATTGTCTCGTTAGCCTGAATGTTGAAAATTTTATGGATTATGATGGTTGTATTTTACAACTTTTTTTACTTTTGTTTATATTTTTGTTTACAATATTTATGATTTGATTTCTATGTAGAGATGAGTGGTTGCAAGCGATAACAAGAGTGGCTGAGAATTTGAAGGATGGAGATGATGACGTCGTCGTTGAAGAGGAGGCTGCCAGGAACTACAAAAAGAAACCAGTTGGTTTAATTGTTATCAATCATTTGGTTGCTGTTGTTTGTTATTGCTGTTAATGTTTGCTTTTTGTTGATTTGATGAAATATTTCGTTCCTGGGTAGCTGATGAGGGGCTGATCCCGGCCGCTCGCCCCGTAGTAGTGGTGGGGCTGGGATCGAATCCAGATGCATCCTGCAGAATGCCGATATCTAATCTCTGTTTCTACTTTTCTCTTTTCTTATAATCTTGCAGCTCCCAAAACTTGATTTTCTCAATTTCAGCTATTATATCTTGCTTCAAACATATTTCTTAAACTTTTATTATTGTAACTACTCTATTATACTTGCTTTTATAATTTATTTTTCCATTTTATCTTTTCAGTTTTTGGCATTTTTACTTGACTTGGTTTTTTCGGTTTGATTGTTGGTTTTGAATGAAACACTTGTTTTTATTTAAATGACATTTTTAGGGACACTAAACGGCATTTTCTTGCTTTTTGAAACCCCTTTTTCAAAATGTTCTTTTGAAAATGAAAGCATAAAAGAATAGTAAAATATAATATTATTGTTTGTGTAAATTTGCTTGCATGAAATTGTTTAAGTTGGGCATAATAATTCTAATAAAATTTGAACTGATTTTCAATGAATTTGTTAACTTGTGTTTTAATATGCAATCCTTCAAAAAATCTAAAAAAAATTTGTTTTTGCTATTTTTTAACAAAAATGTTAAACTAATATTTATTAATCAATATTTAAAAATTAAATATTTTCCTAATTAAAAAAATTATTGATTTTAAGTTTCAAACAAACATTTAACACATTTTTGCAGCTTTGGTCCATTTTGTAATGAATGAACCTCATTGGAAGCATTTGCTGATTTATGATAATATATAATATGTATTTGAGTGTATGTATGTGTTTGTGTGTATGTATGTGTTTGTGTGTATGTATGTGTATGTGTGTGTGTGTTTGTCTGTCTAACCTTTAATACATCCATGTAAAGTAATAACATAACAATATTTCAATATTTTGGTTCAACAGCAATTATAAATTTCAATTTTTTCTCTATTATGAAATAGAAATTGGAAGATTTTGAGTTACTAAAGGTTTTGGGCAAAGGGACATTTGGCAAAGTCATCATGTGCCGTGAAAAAGATACAGGTCTGTTTGTCTATCTGTCTTCTGTCTGTCTGTCTGTTTTTGCCAGCTAACAAATATTTCCTATAGAGATAATTTAATTTTTTATATCATTGTTTATTATTTTTTGTTATATATTTATTTAAAAATATGGAGTGGCTGAATGGCCTAGTGGTTATAGTCGCCGGGGGTTGTTTTGCAGTGCGTGCAGTGACGGTTCCTCTATGACAAAAGGATCCCGGCCTATCACATTTCTTCCTGTGAGATGCGTCGTTTAGCCTGTATTTTTATATGATGTTTGTCCCTCCTTACTTTTTTTAACCTTTGAATAAACATCTGCTGGCATTGTTTGATAGTAAAGATAATTTTTTGATTCCATATGCATCATATAGTCATTTTAACACCATATATCATATAATTCATTCATCTCTTTTATCATCTTGAAGGATTATAAATTCATTTCTAACTCATGCTACTTTCCTCAATTTTAAATCTTTTCTAGATGAATGTGCTATTATTTCATTAATCATACACACTTGAAATTATTTGCAAACAATCTCTTCTTTATCTAACAAGCTCTCAATTTGAAAGATCTCAGCTTGGATCTCCTCTTTCAGTTTTATATTTTCTAGATATAATTTCGTTGTTATTATTTTACAGCAATATTTTTTAGCATTGTTTCAGAGTGGAATAACCAAGTTACGCCATTTCACTGGAAGACTTTTGCAATCCCACAATTTTTGATCTCTGTTCAATTTTTTGATTAAGATAGCTACTCGTTGACCAGATTGCTGTAGTGAGTGGCCCAAGTATATTCATCATATAAGCGGCTCATTCTTTAATTAAATACACAGCCTCATAACAACTTTCTACAACACGAACCATATACTGGACATCTTGTTAGTTTTACCTTTGAACGATTGCCTCAACGCTAACGACATGATATTCATGCATTTGTACATGTTGTTTATTGTATATAATTTCTTTATATATTCATAAACAAATATGACTTGCTAATTCTTTAATTTATATAATTGTTGTGCATTGCCATTGCACAGTGAGCTGTTACCCACCTTTCTCCTTCACTTGCTTGCATTACTCACTTCACTACTTAATTAGTTAATGATTTCACTTGCTAATGTGATTCACATTATTCTAGATCTTGTCATTCAGTTCTGAAATATTTAATACAAGATAACACACACCACACAGGTAAGCTCTACGCCATGAAGATACTGAAGAAATCTGTTATCATTGCAAAAGTAAGCTATGTAATTCAGTTGTTTTTGCCTTGTTTCTCTTGTTGTTTCAGCTGCTGCTACTTTTGTTTTTGTAGTTTTGTAGCACACGTGAGATCTTTTTCACATTTAATTTCAATTATATTGTAGTTTCTTTGCACAGGATCTATTTAGCATTAAATTTGAGTTTATTTTTTACTTTTAGTTCTGTTGGTTAAAAATTGTGCTCATTGATATACATACAAAATGGATGCCTTTTTACTAGGCTTCCTCTACCTTATATAAGAAAGACTTCCACTGAGTCATTATTCCTGCTTTGAATGTGTGGTGGCAATTTATTGAAGTAGATTTCTAATCATTGAGAGTTTCCTTAAAAAACACAAGAATCTTTCAAGTTATTTTCAGTACAATTGTTCAAATAATGTTATTGTGGTGGTGTTCTGATGCAAATGAGAGTTTAATAGTGCTCACATTTCACTGTTTTGTAAAAATTTTATAGAAGAGCTAGTTTAACAGTTGAAGTTTATATCCTCCTGTTAATTGATAATTATTAAGTTATTAAAAATTATTCATTGATTTACTTTTTATGCCAGAATAATGTTGTAAACAAAATATCACTTGAATATTTTCTGTAAGTTCAAGTGTTTTCCTGATCGTTTTAAGAAGGTAATAATAAATATGTATATTATTTTAAATATATATATATATATATATATATATATATATATATATTTGTTACTATTGGCAAGTCAAATTTTCAGGTCAATCCTCTGCCTGACCCTGATTGTATGATGATTGATTGCCTGGCAATGCAGTTTCAATTTTAATCGCATCTAAGCTTTCATTCATAATTTAACATGTTAAAGTTTTCACTTTCCTCACTCAATAAAATTCGCAATGCTCAAGTATTTTTCAAATTTATTTTTTCAAGTAAGTCCAGCTTGCCCTATATAACAACAGGTTGCTAATAATGTTGAAAATACTCAATCACAATGGTTAGCCAGATTATTATGATGTGTGTGTTGAGGTCCAGATGATATTTGAATGACTTTAAGATGCCGAAGGTGGCTCATTTAAAAGATTTAAGAACCATGTAGGCATGAAGAATCTGGGTTTTGATTGCTTTTGAATGCTTAAATAAAGTGAATAAAGTTTAATTGTTAGTTTAGATGATAGTTTATTTTTTTAACTGCAACATTAACTTGTTATCAGTTCAAATTCTTCCTCCAGCCTTCACTGTTTAGGTGTTAGTTATTGTTCCAGCGTCAATTAACATTTAAATGTTGTCTCGTGATCAGTGTATTTTGATCAGTTCGTGAATCCATGTAGAAGAAAGAGGCTTCTTAATTGCATTCCTGATTTATGACTCACTTCAATGTGCACGTGCACAACCTGTTGTTCATTCTTCAGTTATTACTACTAGCTCAGTGCCATCCCTTCACCTGTGAACATTCGAACATTACTCGTTCTGCTCATATCGCAAATTAAATTTTCAAAACTTCCTACATAATTCAAACTGTTAAAACGAACGTAATTAAAATTTACACTAAAATAATTCATTCCCCAAAATATTTTTTGAGCCACTGTTATATTGTGGCTTTAATATTTTGTTTTCTAGTGTCATGATTATATTTTTTTTGAAGTTTTTCATATTCAGTGGAAGATTTTTCATTTAATTTTCTTAGTTGAAAAACTTTTAACTTTGTTAACTCGTTAAAGATTCAAGAGTTACATTTCCAAACAATTCTTTACTGTTCTGTGGTGTGTTTTTGTAAAGTTATTAACTATGCCATTACATTTGGGAGTAAGTTGATGTTATAATTGATGTTGTTACAAATAGCACTATTATGTTGTTGAATTGTATTTAACGGAGTTATAAATAAGGCTACTATTTATTGCAATTCCATGGTAAAATGCCTATTACGGTTATGCTCTATGCACTGTTATAGCTTTTAAAATGTTATTTCAGTTCGTTGTCAAATTAAGAATCATATCTCTGAACAATTCATGTTGTGATCTCATTACCTTCCTACATTTGTTGAGTATGTTTTATGTACTCTGAGTAACGAGTTTGTGTGTTTTGTGTGTATGTATGTGTAGTCAGTGGAAGAAAGAGGAAGAGAGAGAGAGAGTGATAGAGGAAAGAGAGAGAGAGAGAGAGAGAGAGAGAGAAAGTTTAACAGTCAAATGATTGAATGTATATTCAATGGTTGAACGTATCATCATTCAAACATGACCAGGAACTTCTGGCACGATATGCAATATTGCATTCGTTCATAAGGTTGTCATCAGTTTGTCTGTTTTGTTTGTAAATGATGATGATGATGACGACGACGATGATGATAATAAATAAAAGATGACTTTTTGGAATTTTCTTAGCAGCTCTTAAGTAAAATTTATATATTATATTATTGAAAGCTCTAAATTTAAATGAAATGGATACAACTGATCGTCTAATTTGGCGCAAAAAGTTGATGGCAAAGAAAACAACGTCCTACCTCGGGAAACTGGGTCTCTGGACGCAAAACGAAGATTGATTGATTGATTATATTACTGAAAAATTACCAGTATAATTTATACGAAGATTATTTAAAACGTTGATTTGATATGTTTAGGACGAGGTTATGCACACTTTGACCGAAAATAAAGTTCTCCAAAGAAGCAAGCATCCATTCTTAACTGTTAGTTGGAATATTTTTTTTCTAAGAGCGTACAAGTAAATGCTGATAATTATGTTCGTATTGTATGCAACTGTTTGTCTAAAAAAACTGGTACGTAATTTCATGTTTGTTTCATCTGGCAAGTTGTGCATAGATGAGGAGGAAAAAGCTCAGGTGTGGAAAGCTCATATGGAAAGGTTGATGAATGAAGAGAATGAGTGGGATGGAGATGTGGAATCCGTGGTCACACACGGACCTATAGAGAAGGTGACGATGGAGGAAGTAGAGAAAGCAGTTAGAGAAATGAAACTAGGTAAGGCGACAGGGGTTTCGGAAGTGGCGGCTGAACATATTAAAGCGAGTGGGGTGATAGGAATTGAAGTTATGATGAGAATTGCTAACAGTATGTTTGATGATGAAGGTATACCTGAGGATTGGCAACACAGTGTGTTGGTGCCGTTGTATAAGGGCAAAGGAGATGTGAGAGATTGTGGGTCATACAGGGGTGTGAAATTACTAGAGCACGGAATGAAGGTAGTGGAGAGGGTGCTTGAAAGGAGGTTGAGAAGTATGGTGACAGTTAATGAAATGCAGTGTGGGTTTATGCCTGGTAGGGGAACGGTGGATGCGTTGTTCATGGCGAGAATGTGAATGTTGCAGGAGAATTATAGAAAGAAGAAACGAAGATTGTACATGTGTTTTGTGGATCTAGAAAAGGCTTTTGATCGAGTACCGAGGAAGGTCATTGAAAAGGCGTTGAGGAAGAAAGGAGTGAATGAGAGACTTGTTAAAGCTGTGATGCAGCTGTATGAAGGGGCAAAGACAAAGGTGAGGGTTGGAAGGGGGATGTCGGACGCTTTTAGTGTTAAGGTAGGAGTGCATCAAGGATCAGTGTTATCACCGTTTCTGTTTGCAATTGTGATGGATGTTGTGTGTGGAAACATAATGGAGGGGTTGTTATTTGAGATTTTGTATGCAGATGATTTAGTCTTGACGGCTGATAGCATGGAAGAATTGCAGTTAAAATTTGACAGATGGAAAAGTGTTATTGAAAAGAAAGGGTTAAAAGTTAATATTGGTAAGACGAAGGTAATGGTGAGTGGGGAAGGTGGGGAACGAGTGATAAGTAAAATAGACCCCTGTGGGGTATGTGATAGGAGAGTGAAGGCTAACTCGGTATTGTGTATAGGATGTCAGAAATGGGTGCATAAGAGATGTAGTGGTGTGAGGGGGGCACTGAAAAAGGTGGAAGGCACGTTCAAATGTAAGAAATGTGTTCATGGTGTGATTAATAGGACGGACGCAAGGACGGGGTTGAGTGATGGTATTGAAAGAGTGGAAAGCTTTGTTTACTTAGGGGATAAGCTGAATGCGGATGGAGGATGTTTGAGCGCAGTTACGGCTAGAGTTCGTGTGGGATGGATGAAATTTAGGGAACTGGGTGGGGTATTGTGTGGAAAGAAATGGTCAGTGAAGATGAAAGGGAGGGTATATAAAGCATGTGTGAGAGCAGCGATGATATATGGTGGTGAAACTTGGGTGTTGAGGAGAGAGGAGGAAAGTGTACTGCAGAGGGCTGAAAGAGCTATGGTGAGGATGATGTGTGGGGTTAAAGTGAAGGATAGGAGGAGTAGTACAGAGCTGATGTCAATGATGGGACTGAATGAGGACATTGTGACATTGATAAGGAGATCGAGATTGCGGTGGTATGGACATGTGTTGAGAAGGGATGAAAGGGTCGGGATTAGGCGAGCGTTGGAGTTCGAGGTTGAAGGAGTGGTAGGAAGGGGTCGTCCGCGATTGGGATGGAGAGAGCAGGTGGAGAAGGACAGGGTGAAAGCGGGGTTGCGTGATACTGAGGCGAGTGACAGATGTGGATGGAGTCGAGGGGTATTTCGGTTTCATCATAGGTAGCCAAACGGCAACCCCCGATCTCGGGGAAAATGCCGTCTAAACGTGTGTTTGTTTGTTTGTTTTTTCATTGGTATATAATGCTGTTATATTTCATGTAATGTGCATTTTGGTTTATCCAACTGTCGATGTTTGATTTATATTCAAAGTTGTCAGATTTTTTAAATACTATTGGTAGCTTATTGATAAAAAAACAACGAAGTGAATTACTATATATTTTGTTGCAGTTGAATTGAATTCATTTGGCAATTCATCATTGAATTTTTAAGATAAAAATGTGCTGCAGAATGGCTCTGGTTTGTGTTTTTTCTTTATGATATATTATGGTGTCCTGTCTTAATAATGGCCTGCTCGTGTTTTTATTTCATTTGCTTTTCACTTTGATGATTTCCAATATAATTTCTTGCTTTTTATTTTTATATAATAGTTAATGAAATAATTAAAATGCCTCGTGAACCACATTTACAGCAATTAGCATATTCGTTTCAAACTGTTGATCGTTTGTGTTTTGTCATGGAATATGTCAATGGCGGAGAACTCTTTTATCACCTTTCAAAAGTAATTTGATACTCAATGTGTTTGCTTTCTTCGTCGTGTTTGTCCTTGTTTGTTTGTGTGCTTGTTTGTTTGTTCGTTCATTTGGTCGTTCATTCGTTGTGTCGTTCGTTCCTTTGTCTGTTTGTTTTTTTGCTTGCTCTTTTGTTTGTTTGTTAACTTATTTGTTTAATTGTTTGTTTGTTGGTTTAATTATTTGTTTGTTGGTTTAACTGTTTGTTTGTTGGTTTAATTGTTTGTTTGTTTGCTTGTTTGTTTATATTACTCAATTCTGTTGTGTTTAAATGAATAATTAATTAAGCTTAGTTGTTATTTTATTTCATCTGCATTTGGAAATGAACATTTGATAAACTGATGTGATTAACAAGTGATGATATTTGAATAACTTATCAACAGTGTAATGATACGGAAACTCTGATCTGAACTTCAATCATCCCGCTTAACAATGTACCTCTAAGCCACATTTTTATATCACGTAATTTGTATTTTCAACATATTTCTGCTCCTTCTCTTGTCAGATGGTATTCAGCAGGCAGGTCCATGTCAGTCTATGACGCCTCATTTTATTCATTATATTTTATTATATCTCGCCTTGCAAGTATTTTTATTCCTAACAAACTTTTTTTTATGCCATCAATTTGTGGAATGTGCCATCAAATTTTTTTTTCTATGCCGTCAACACCCCGCATTCTTCTCTATCTCCCTCACTTCCTCATCTGTTTTGCAATCCTATTAGATTACTTTTCCAAAATTTATGGAGGGTTGCAAATGTGTTTTTTTACTCTTCTAAATTTTTTAACTTGTTTGAATGACTTGTTTGTTAAGCAATTTTACTGTAATTAACTTCTTCATACCTTGTTTCTTCCTACCAAACCATATACAACCACCAACCAGCAATCAACGATCATTAACAGTCAACATTCAACAACCAGGTACGAGTGTTTCCGGAGGCACGAACTAAATTCTATGCAGCAGAAATCTGTTCAGCCCTTGGCTATCTGCACGAGAACAACGTCATATATCGAGATTTGAAAGTTAGTACGAACTTTTTAGAGTTTGTTTCATGATATTACGTTACGTACATGCCAATGTCAGAAAAACTGACCAGTTATCCTCAGTTTAATATCATTAACAAACGATGGATATAAATAATAATGCCTCCTGATTAGCGTTCGGATATGCGCACACGCACACATCATCTACATCATCCTTATTTTCCAGCAGCATCTTGCTAGCTCCTCTCTGCAACGTTTCGACATCCTCTTTCAACTTCGTCATCTTCGTTGATTTATTTTCAAGTTGTTTATTTTTAATCAACTATTTCTACCAGTTTTGTAAAATTTTAGCTCATTATTTGATAGATTGATGTTTTTCTTCTTTTATTTTGATCTGGCAGAGTTTTTCATCATATAATAGGTCGCTTTTATATTACATAGTGCAATAGGGGATGATCTTGTAGATTGTAATTGCTTTAAGAATAATGGGTTTTCTTTCAAAAATTGCTGGCGAGAGATACTATCAATAGAATAATGGTAACGCAACGGTGGAATAACGGTAAAGTGTCCGGTCCGATTTCATTCAAATTCTGGAAATTTACACCTCTCTTACGCGATTAGTGTATGATGTGTTTATTCATGCGTAATCACGTGTTTGCGTGCGTGTGTTTGCGTGCGTGCGTGTGTTTGCGTGCGTGCGTGTGTGTGCGTGTAGTTTATGCCTCGGAGAAATGCAGCAAAGATAATGATTCACACTTGTCATAATTCTGATGAACATTCAATTGGAAAGCATGTGGTGCATTGAGTGGAGGAAGGGGATGCCGATTGATGACAGTGTGATAAAAGCTGCAAGAGTTTTTTTGTAGAAAGAGAATGTCATATTATTATTAGTTGTTAGTTTTTCCATATTATATCATAGAGTTTCTTATTGGTGCAGAATTTAATAAATAACCAATGATTGCTGTTGATTGATTGATATGTTTCTTTTTATTACTCACTCAGAGCGTGTTTGACGTTTTTTATGTTCATTTGTTTATGCTGATTTGAATGTTTGTTTAAAATTTCCGTTATTGTTGTTGTTATCGCTAATGCTACTGTTCTTCTTATAACAAGTCTTCATTCTTCTTCATTCATTCATTTTTACATTTATTCATTCACTCATTTATTCATTCATTCACTCATTTATTCATTCATTCACTCATTTATTCATTCATTCACTCATTTATTCATTCATTCACTCATTTATTCATTCATTCACTCATTTATTCATTCATTCACTCATTTATTCATTCATTCACTCATTTATTCATTCATTCACTCATTTATTCATTCATTCAGTCATTTATTCATTCATTTATTCTTTCATTCACTCATTTATTCATTCACTCATTTATTTATTCATTCACTCATTCATTCACTCATTTATTCATTCATTTATTCTTTCATTCACTCATTTATTCATTCACTCATTTATTTATTCATTCACTCATTTATTCATTCATTCATTCAATCATTTATTCATTCATTCACTCATTCATTCACTCATTCAAACGGCTTGTTGCCCCACAGTTCACTTTAATTCAGCAGGTGAATAACATTGCAAATATTTCATCTTTTAGTCATCAGTGCAAGATTAGTTAGTTTTACTTGTTACACGTTCCCTCGTCATAAATATTTATTTATATCCGTCGTAAAATCATCGGTTGATGGCTGGTGTTGGTGGGAGCAAGAACTATCTCTTATGCAAACTATGTAGATCATGTATGGAATACTTTTTATGTTAATAATAAAGTGTTTATAATAATGGGAACGATCTTTTATTCAGCAATTAAAAACAGTGAAAATGACAGTACAAATAAAATAAAATAATGAAATAAAATAAAGTGTTAAATGCGATAAATAGAGTATTAATCTGAGAAGCTCATCATTCGAATCAAGAGAGTACGACCAGAGTTAATTAGTTTTAAAATTGATTCATTTCACATTTCTGTCGCAATAGATAACGTATGACGATTGTAATAATGACAATTGTTGATAATAAACTGGTTTTAATGATGATAGTTATAGTAATAATCAATCAAATCGAATTTTAATCATTCAAATCAAAGAGAGAGAGAGAGACGATTGTTATTATTATTCTGGTGACAACGATTTAATTACATTAGTTACACCGGTGACAGCGATGTAATTACATTAGTTACATCAGTTCCGATGACAGCGATGTAATTACATTAACTACTCCACAGCTTGAAAACTTGCTGCTAGACAGAGATGGCCACATCAAGATAGCAGATTTTGGTTTATGCAAGGAGAACATGGCCTTTGGTACGAGCACGAAGACATTCTGTGGCACACCAGAGTACCTGGCGCCTGAAGTCTGTTCCGTTGGGTTTCTTATATTTAATGATTTCTATCCTTTTACAACTACAACACTTTGTTCTTACAATTTTTATAATAAATTCTTCATTTTTTTTTGTTTCAGCCAGTATTCTATCATCTATTTAAATTTGGTTATTGTATTATTGTTTTTGTTGCCGCTGCATTTGAGTGCAGGTCTTAGAGGACAACGATTACGACAGAGCAGTTGATTGGTGGGGCACGGGTGTGGTCATGTACGAGATGATGTGTGGCAGGCTTCCATTCTACAACAGGGAACCGGAAGTTCTATTTGAACTCATCCTCAGAGAGGACCTCAAGTTTCCGAAGAATCTCTCTGAAGAAGGAAGATCCGTTTTGAAAGGCTTGCTAACCAAAGATCCCAAAACAAGGTGGGTACTACTATGATTTTTACCATCTTATATTTTGATCGATGGTACATGACATACACTGACTGGTAATTATAGATTAGGAGGAAGTGAAGAAGACGTGAAGGAAATTCAAAGGCATCCATTCTTTGCTTGCATTGATTGGGTGGATTTAGTGAATAAAAAGGTTGTTGCTTCTTTTGGTTTCAGTGTTCTCCTCTAGCTTTTATAAATTATGATTTTTGTACAGCAATCATAATTTATAAAAGCTACAGATATTTATTGATGTGTATTGATATTTTAACATTATAAGGACAATCGGTATTTTGAGTGTGCATTCGATGTTCTTATAATTATTTGAAAATGTATTTATTTAAGTAGTATTGTTCAACTTTATTTTGTTTTTCCTGTGGTAATTGTCATACGTAGTCAGGGTTTGTTAGAGTTGGGTTTGTTTGTAATAAGAAAAATGAAAAAAATGAATTCACATCCAACAAATTTCTACTGTCCTACAGATTGAACCGCCGTGGAAACCAACACTCGAATCCGACACAGACCTTCGATATTTCTCTCAAGAATTCGTCAACGAACCAGTTTCCCTGACCCCAATCAGCAGTCAGTTGGACAGCATCGAGGAGACTGACTACCCATTTGTATCCTTCTCATATGGCAGTCGATGGAGTCTCACTAGTCACGTCAGTCAAATGTCATGCACCTGAGTTCAACAGCTTTCTATCATGCCAATGTTGACAGTGATGCTGTTATGTAGATTGGTGTGTGTGTGTCTGCGTGTAGGTGTATGTGTTTGTGTGTGTGTGTGTACCGCATATATGTGTAGATAGATTAGTGTGTTTGTGGGTGATGATGAGGTAATTCACAAACATCTTAATGATGTTGTGTATATGTACAACGATGATGATGATGTAAGAAACGACGTTGCAATGGAAAGTTTTTGTGATGTTTGAGGTTTCAGAGTAGAGTATTTATTTTCAAGTTCACGTTATTTATGTTCAAATTGAACCAATCATATAATTAGCCTGCGATTTTGTTGTTCAATGTAATTGTTGCATTGGCTGATGGCTGGTGCAAATATTGATGTCTTGTCTTGGATGGTTTTTTGATAGACAATCAATGATGATGATGGTTAGTTTCCCAAAGAAGTACTACTAACATTAATGATGATGATGACAGTTCTACGGTTTTTGATGACCATTATCATGAAAGTACTGTTAATTTCATTTGTCAAATATCATTGTAAATTTGTTAAAATTAATGAAAAACACTTTTAAGCACAGGTTTCTTTTATTATTAGTTTTTGGTGTTTTAATTTAAATTTAATTTTTGATTTAACTTGTCTTTATTTATTGTTAATGTTCCTATTGCTGGCAGCACTGGGCGTTGTGGCAATTTATGCCGTCATTTGTACACTTCTCGATCGTTATTACTATTATTATCGTTTTCTTCTTTATTATTTTAATTTCATTATTGCTTTTATAATTTTTAATGATAATATTATAAATACTACTAATAATAATAATAATTGTGGTAATTGTCGCCATGGAGTCCACTATGAAAAATAAATATGAATCGAGTTGGTACACATCAAGAGAAACAAACACATTTAATCTATTTGCACGTTTCAAGCGAACAAACATTTATTGTCAGCAAATGATACTGTATGCATGTATATATATATATATACACGCATATATATATATATATATATGTATGCGTGTGTGGAAGTTATTCTGGGGGCAAAGTGCATGTGATTCAATCAATGGTAGTACACAAATACATGAGTGCATTATTACGTTCGCATCCATTTTTGAACGTTTTTATCATTTCTATGGAATATATAAATAGGAACCAACTAGCAATTTCAATTAGCGACATTAATTTATTTAACTTACGCACGTAACACACCATTCACTAAATGTTCGAGTATGTGTGCGCGTCTGTTTATAAAGATTATGTATGTATGTATGTGTGTATATATATTATATATATATATATATATAATATATATATATCGTTCACGCAAAATTAGATTACCGCAACAGCATTTTTTACGTAGTTTCAAATCATTTGATTAATCGTCTTCAGTCAATTCAAAATCGTGCTGCAAAGATGGAGGGTTAAAATACGACCATGTCAGTAATACTCTACGAGATCTCCATTGCCCCACAATTAAAAAAGAATCATCTTCAAGATTGCCGTTACGGTTTTCAAATGTTTAAATGGTTTAAGTCCAAGCTACGTCCGGAAGGTGTTAATACAAAACGAAAACTATTCATCACTTGCAATTACGTTCGGATTCAGTTATTTTTATCGGTGCCACGAACAAATTTGATGGTGGCCAATAGGAATTTTGCCGTTGCCGGACCACAAATTTGGAACTCACTACCATACAGCCTCCGTTAACCTGGTTTAACTATTCAGAAGTTTCGCAAAAATTTGAAGACATCTTTTTTCCCGATGATTCTACCATACGAAAGCAGCGCCTNTGAGTTGCATTAAAGGGCGCTATATAAATTCTCTAATAATAATATATATTTGATAAAATCTACCGAATTTTAGCTTTTGAAAGTTTACGATTGAGCTTTTAAATATTTTTTTGTAATTTTACACTAACAGTAATTTTGTTATCCAATTTATTAAAACTAATTAGATCGATCGAAATATGGCCTATATACGCTTCACCGTGGACACAAACGATTTTTTTTAATTAAATTGGATAATAATTACTTTTAGAAATATAGAAAACCTCAATCGTAAACTTTCAATAGCTACAAATTCGGAAGATTAAATCAAATATTGTATCAATTATGGTTTTCCAGCCATATATATATATATATATATTTATATATATATATATATATATATATACACTAAATATGCCGTCAGATAGTTCTGTCAAAATATTGAAACTTCCGACAAGTATTTTTATAGTGAGTATTTTTCGCTACAGAAGGCATATAAACGCCAATGAACAAGTTGCAAAGTTTTCGAAAAATTTTTAATGCACTGCTATCTAACACCTCATTACGTTGATTATATCGAATGATTATTTTAGCATTTTATCCTGTAAAGTCTCACCTAATTGTATCACCGTAGTGCACTTTTTCTATCGCTTTCCGAATCACAATTCACTAACGTGTATCGCAAATACAATAAAAATACAACGTAGTCAAGTATCGCTGTCGACACTAACTAACAATCAACCAACCAATCGCTATTCGATATCCTGCACCTCTTTACATACCTGTCTTATCGACGCTCCTCGAACGTCCTAAATATCTCGATGTCAGAAGGTTTCTTCTCGAACTGGGTGCACTCATAGCGACACTAGCGTCTCCAGCGAATACACTTGTGACGGTTATAACACCACCCCCCTTCAAGTTTTGTTCGTCCTGAACAGAGTTCGTTGCAACGTCTGCATAAAATGGAGCCAATCTGTCCAAATGAACAATCTTCATTTTCGGCTGTGGCTTTCGATGTTCTTGAATTCGGTAAACAATGTCGTTCAATCGCATTATAATCTGATAAGGTCCTTCTCAACATCGTTGAAGCTTTGGAGACCGTCCTTTTTTCGATGTGGTTTATACAGCCATACCAGATAGCGTTAAATCCAGTAGCGTTTCCCTTTTGATCGTTTGGGTCTTGGTTGCTTCGCTGTTTTTTTCAACTTCAAGCGCGTGTATTAGTAGATGGTGTTTAACTGTTGACGGAGATTGTTTACATAGTCTGTTATTGATTGTAGGGCATTAGGTGGTACGCCATATTTTATATCAGCTGGGGTCCCTATTGAACTTCCAAAAAAGATTTTTGATGGAGGCTCTCCAGTAGTTGTGTGGATGGCACCCGATATGCCATAAGGAATAGTAGTATTTGTCGATTCCAGTCTTTTGGTTTTCGTCAACTACCTTGGCCAAATGTTCCATTCCATCTGACTGAGGGTGAACAGGAGTTGTTCTTGTCTTTATACCCAGTAATTGAAACAGCTCACTAAACAGTTGCGACTCGAAGTTTTTACCTTGGTCTGAATGCAGCTCCATGGGGACACCATACCGACTGATCCAGTTTATTACAATCTTTTCAGCAACGGTACGAGCCTCCTGGTTAAGTATCGGATATACTTCCGACCACTTGCTAAAATAGTTCGCTACAACCAGACAAATCGTCTTAAAAAGAGAATGAGTTTAAAAGAAACCACAGTACATACAGCATACATAGACAGAAAGTGTACGTTAAAAACTAACACACCATGTACCAAACATACATAAGAAATTAGGTGACTTGTATGTATTTTTAAAAAAATTTATTTTAAAATCATTAATGAGTACCAAATTATTACTTAAACTATAAACAAACAAAATTTTAACTTGAAAGTTTATATGAATCAAGTTTTGTAATTTTATAATATGATTAATATTAGAGTGAATAATTTAATGTTGCTTTAAATTAAAACAAAATGATTATTTACAGTAAAAATGGAAGTACATTAAAAACTCAGAAAGGAATGAGAATTATCACAATTCATTTCCATTGAAACACGTCACGAAGATTGAACTTAGAGATAACCATATTAATCAAGTCATTATTAAAAAATTTACTGGACTAAATATCCGGTTAAAAGTAAACTTAAAAAATATTTATATTCAATTTCATAATTTTCATACTATATGCTGCCAGCTGACCATGTTAAATTTGCTCATTACTCTTTCATTATTTTAAAAAGTATATATACGTATTTTTATATACATATATAATATTTGTTGAAGATTCTACTCATTACCTGTATAAACTATATGGCAGAATCAATTAAAATAAATAAAAAAAGAAATACATATAAAGTGAGTGTGAATGATGGATAAATGGGATAGACAAGGCCTCAGGATTGCTTGCTCTTTGTTGGTTCGTTGTATGAATGAAGCACAGCACGAAAGAGCATTCAATTAAGAAAATAATTACATAATATTTAAAAAAATCCCACATCTAAAGATGATATGAAGAGAAAATGTTAAACGATGTAAACGTTCGATTCATACACTTATAATAATAATTATTAATTAATAACCGAATAATTAATTACATTATATGCCAAGAAGATGAATTATAAAAACAGTTTGAAAAAAACTGATACAACTATTAACTGGAAAAAATAAATAACTGGATAGAAAACAATTATTAAAAATTACAGAAATATTTCATACAAATCAGGGAATGATTTTACAAAAATTTCATATGTACATATCATTAAGATTAAATTTTAAAAAATGAAAAAATAGTCAACGAGCTGTAAAAACTGAATTATGTGTAAATAGAAACAGCATAGTAGAAAAAAAGTACGTTGTTTCAATCCATGCTGAGATATGCAGTGCACCAATTAATTTCATTCAACTTTCTATACTCATTTCTCTGGTCTAATTATATAAATTACAAATCTGGAAAAAGATTTCTATTAACAAATCGGAATACGAATGACGACGACGGCGCGACGATTTATCATCAAACAGATCACACAGAATTTGTATAACAACTTTAAGCCTTAGATGGCGGGCCCATATGAACAACTGAAAAATTATTAGCTACAGCAAGTGTGGGTTATATTTACATTACAAAATGTCATTTATTTCTGTAAACGTTCTGGTTAAAGGATATCAGAAGTGTATTAAATAGAACAACGGAGTAATTGGATGATGAGTGATAACGCATCTTTAATCCCATCAAATTTATTTACATTATAGCGTCTCATCATGATGAGCGAGCACAACACACCTGCCACACTGCACCGCACCTACCACACCGCACCTACCACACCACACCTACCACACCACAAATGTTACACCAGGCAACTCTACCATGAACCCTGCAAACAATCATTAAAAATAAATAACTAAAAACGTTGAATTTTCATGAGAAAGGTATAGCAGCGATTGATTGATTGATCTATCGGTCGACCAACTGATTGATTGATTGATTGATTGATAGATTCAAGAGTTGATGACAGAGGAGGAGATCAACTTTCTCAATCTATCCATCTCTACCTGCATGTTGTACCTGCAATGCAATCGTTTTTGTGATTCATGTAGTTTTATAAAATATAAAATAATAATTATGCTAAAAAAGAAAAATTGTGCAACATGTGAAAACGTTAAAAAATGAAAATTTTTTATATAATTATTTTAAATCTAAAAAATTTATTAAAAATGTAATATTCATTATAATTATTAAAATGCTCTAACTAATGATTGGCCTATTTATTCTTTGCAAATCACCAAATAATTCCACTTTCACTAACCAATATAAAATAACTAACCAACCAACTGATCAATAATCCAACCATTCAAATAATAAGCCAACCAACCATCCAACAATAGATCAACCAGTTAATAGACCAGCTGATCCACCAGCCAATCAACCAACAAACCGGCCAATAAACCAACCAACAAACAAACCAGTCAATCAAATAACCAGCTAATCAACCAACCAGCCAGCTAACCAACCAGTCAAATGACCAACCTTGTTTTCTTCTCCTCATCAATTTCACCCATCAGATCAAGTAGCGTCTTCTCGTGGTCCTTCTTCATTCGATCCAGCTGCTCCTTCAAGTGCTCAACATTCCTCTGAAGGTCAGCAAACATCTCATTGGTCACCGCAACGGCAGCAGTGGTTGCAGCAGGTGCTTGTTTGCCGGGTTGTAGCGGCAAATGAGAGGTTGTAGGCGGGATGACGGGGAGCGAATGAAGCTCCTCTTTCCTGCTGGCAGCAGGTGGTTGCGCTTGCTTCATTATTGGTTTCTCATCTTTTGGTTGCTCCTATCGAGAATTCGGAAAAAATTAAGTTAGTAGGTTGCCTTTTAAAAATTAAAATTTTCACTAAGAAATTATCACAGAAAATAAAACTTGACAAACATCATCTTTATCTTCCTCACTGCCATCACCATGTCGTCGTTTTATTTCGATAACAATCATCATCCCCATCATCATCATCGACATCATTATCATCATCATCAGTACCTTGTGTGGAATGAATGCTTGAGGTCTTTTCTGAGCGATTTTATCAGGAAGTACTTTTGATGGTGGTTCTGGAGTTAATGTAATGTATGATAAATGTGAATAAGAAAAAAAATGACTAAAACTGAACTTTGTAGCTTGTTCTTTCTGGAATAAACAAAAAGTACAATTTAACAATAAATTGCCGAATATATTTGATATAATATAAAAGGACAACATAGAAAGAGACAAAAGTCATCACAGAAGTAAGCAGGTTATCTTCATTTAAATGTATTCCACCCATTGAAACGTTCCTAACTGTACATCATCTATTGTATCATTTATCTATTGTAAATCATCTAATCACCATGCCATGAATTATTATAACGAAGATTTCTAGTACTACAATTACATTCAAAACTTTTGTTAACATTCATTAAGATATACCTATTAATTGTTTCAGTTTTTTTTAAACTGTTGATTTAACATTTAGCTAAGAATTTGAGAATGTAGCAACTGTAACTTTTAATTAGCAGAGACTTATTTATAATCTGAAACTTCATTTCAATTGGCGAACATCTGCTGCCTTTTAAATGGCAGTATGTTTATAATTATCATAATTGGCTGAACATTCATAAAGAAGTCGCTAAGATTAGTCTACCCTGAAGACTGGATTGTGATGGAATGTGTAATCCATCCAAATCTCAACCCCATCGAAACCAGAACCACAGTAGCAGGCAAAATGCAAGAGGTAGATGATTGAAAAAATGAAATAAATGAATGAATAAATGAATCAATTAATCAATCAAACAAACAAACAGCAAGTAACGAAAATCAAGCAATTATTTCAAACAAAATAACAACTCACTAAATAACAGAAAATAAAAAATGAATCAATCAACCAATGAATAAAGAAATTACAAATTGAATGAACGAATGAAAGAAAGAATGGAGAAATAACAAAATAGACCAATGAAAAAATGGTCGTACCAGATTTAATTGGTTCTCCTGCCTCACAAGGTTGAGAGGGTGACTTGAAAGAAGCTGTCCATAAAACAGATCAATCCCATATTATTTCATGTGAATTATGAATTTTTTTGCGAAAATTAAAACTTCAAAACACAGCAAAGCAGCAAATACATGCACACACACACAAACACACACAGAAACGCATAAACACATATTGACAAGCGAGCAAGCAAACTTATAGAATGTACCAACATTTGAATTCGTTTTTTAACTTTGGCTTCGAGGTAGGCACAGCGGGGAAGGGTTTAGATGTGTTCTCAACAACTTTCTTGGGCTTCTGGTTAGGAAATAAATACAAATTAAAAATATTAAATTTTAAATATTGATAAAAAAAAACAAATATGGTCAAAAGATAGATTACAAATAATTGAAACAAAATAATTGGTGGTGAGACGGTGGTGGGATGGTTGAGGTGCTTGATTCTGCTGTTGCAGGTAGGTTCGAGTGCAACATGTGTGATGTATGGCTGCTTTCATGCCACATATCCACTCACATGCACTCTGTGTGTGTTTATGTGCTTTGTGGATGCCTCTAATTAATTAATTAATTAGTTAAGAGATAATTATTAATAATTATTTTACTTTTTGTGTTTAAATCATTATCTAACACGTAGATGAAACCTTTAAAAGTCCATGAGTAAACAAGCTGTATAATTAGCCACATCACTAACACACGCCTATACATTATTAAAACAACAAAAACACCTTGCTATATCTATAATGACAATCTTCGTTATAACCAGCATAATGAGTAGATTTGATAATTTTACATTTTTACACATTTCACCATCATCTACATCATATCTCACAACTCAATTGTAACCGAAATGTAATTTCAACAAAAACATTACACAACCATGATTTAATCTGTTTCATATTTCCAACAGCAATAACAATTATGACATAAACACCTACATACATATCCATCCATCACCCAATGTTCTCCAGAGTCCACAGACCGTCGAGGCCGAAAGCATTATCTTTTTTCCAGAAACCCTGTCTGGACTCGGCTTGTTTTTTGCTATCCATATATTTCTTCTAGTCCATTCTTCAATATTATCTAACCATCTTCTCGGGGGTCTTCCTTTCTTCCTTTTGTCTTCTGCTCTGGCAAACACAGCCATTTTCATCAGCCTGTCATCTTTCATCCGACAGATGTGCCCAAAAAAACTCATTTGTCTTCTTAATACTCTCGACGTTGACGTCTCCATCATTCTAATTTGAACTCTTATTTTTTCACTTGTTCTTTTTTTCTGTCCATTTTACACGGAGCATTCTTCTGTAGCACTTCACATCAAATGCATCTAGTCTTCTTCTGCCTTCTTTAATGTCTGTGCTTCGATTACATAAAATAATGTTGACATTACACATAAATCCATCAACTTTAGTTTCTTCTGAAGTGATATTTTTGTCCTTTTCCATATTATATTCAGTGTTCCATATGTGCCTGCTGCGATGCCAATTCTTCGTTTTATTTCTTAACTGCAATCATATCTCTTGTCAGGCTTTCCATGTATACAAACTGATCTACCTGTCCAATATTTCCTTATGTTAGTTAGCTTGGGTGTTATTTCCCATTACCATAACTTTTGTTTTTTATTTATTAATCCTTAGTCCATAACTCTTTTCGCTTTTATATAGACATACATAAAGACAAGTGAAAATTTTTTTTTATTATTCATATGCATGTACAAATACAAATAACCGTATACACACATACAAAGTACAAGTACATGGCCACCTCTTCAGGGGGTAACAGTTGGACGAAGTTATCAGGGAAGACACCAACATTACCATTACAATCTCCCTTCCACCACCCGGCGTCCTCGAGATTCCGATCAAGGACCACAATGATGTCACCAGGAGTCAGTGAAAGTTCATCAGGGTTCTCGGCTTTGTATGCAAACAAGGCTTTGGCTTTTAATACTGCAACTTTAAATCAATTTATGAACGAATTATCATGGAATCATGTGAATATGTGTAGATATAGAAACGAAAGAAGCAGGCATTGATGAATAAAATATCCACTGGCACACAGTTCTATATGTTGTATGATACACACGATTCTTGGTTTTCAATGTATTTGCTCATTGTGAGTGAGTCGTACGAGTATTTATAATGGTATTTATGATGTTTTCAAATGAATATACCCAGCATGTATTGCATATTTGATGGTAAAAAATACTAATGAGACCACAAGCTAAAAACTGACCTGATTTGTCATCTCTTGTCACAGGAGGAGAAGCTGCTTGCTTTCGAGACTTTGGAAACAAATTTTGAAGGTATTGAATAAACAGCAATCCTCAAGCAAAATAGAAGCAATTTATTTAACAATTCATTCAGACTGTAATTATTTGCTCATTTAAGGAATGGAAAAACCATAATATAAAGTGAAAGGAAAGTCAGAATTATAACCTAATTATAATTATATTGATAACAACCTCTAGGACAGGTGGCATAGCTGTAGGCACATTGCTAGATACATTACTGCTGATGTTATTGAGAACGTTGTTTGGCCTCGTTGATGCACCTGCTGACAAGGGACCTCTGTTCGTCGGCTTCAATAAAATTTGTTCATTGTTGAACAAGTTTGGTCCGAATCCTACTCCAATGACCTTCCGACCTTTGATCTCAGGTGCATCATAAGGTTCTTGCACATCAGCTACATTGTTAAATGACGGTGATGCAGAAAGTAAATAAAACATTATTGCTAATAATGCATAAGCCTAAAGCGAAAGTTAAGTAAATATTACAAAAAACAGCTTGATAACTTTCAAACTTTTTATTAAACTTTGAAATTACTTAGTTAATGTCAGACATACAAAACTAAAATAATTAAATGTGAATTAAGAAGCTACATGAAAAGATGAATGAACTCAAAAGTACCTTCTGAGTCAATCAGTTCCACAAAATTTGAAGGAAAGACACCAGTCTGTCCATTCAACTTGCCTTCATACCACCCTGGTTCTTCCTGATATCATCATCATTAACATCATCATCATTAATATAATACCACCACCATCATCATAAATATAAAATCATCATCATTATCATCATCATCATTAATATAGTACCACCATCATTAATATATTACCATCATCATCATCATTATCATCATTAATATAGCATCATCATTAACAACATCTTAATGTTGATCAAACATGTTTATACATGTATATATGCAATATACATATATACCAGACATTTATATATACGTGTATCATCACATAATTTTGTCTATTCACTTTCATAATCTATAAGAATTTTTGGAAACCTCAACATGACAACATGGTGATGACAGCAATGCTAATGTACAACAATACCAAGGACAACACGACAATAACAACATCAACAACAAGAATGAGATGATAGTAATGAGAAACCTGTTTGAGGATCTCAACGATCTGTCCAACCTCCAGGTTCAGCTCATCATCATTCTGAGCTACGTAGGCAAACAGGGCTCGGGCTTTCTTCTTTTTCTGTGGCACTGATTATCGTTTTCATCATCATCCTCATCATCATCATCATTGGTATAAACTCATCATCATCGTTTGTATATACTCATTATCATCATCTGTATAAATTCATTATCAGTGCTTTTTTGCGCCAGTATGGCCTACCAGCACCTTTTTCAATGTGGGGAAAAAAATTATTACTTTTAATTAAAAACAATGCCACTTTTTGGTGTGATAGCCAAAATAAGTCAGCCCCTGGCGAAAGTTGTCCACATTGAGTACCAGCACCAATTTTTTTTTACAAAAAAGCACAGCTCGTATACTCATCAGCATTACCATGAATACTACTACACAACGTCAGAGTGAAACTTCCACACGTGTGATTTAACTTATTCAAACTCATTCAATATCATTAGATCAAGCAAAATAGAAGAAATAAGCAAGGAATTGGAGGACTGACCAGCAAAAACAGGTGGTGGATTGTTGATGACACTGTTCAGCCTGTTCTTGATGTCCGTGACTCCTGATGCTCGCTTCTGTGGCAGGTCCTTTGGCTTTTCGGGCTTCTTATTTTCCTTGTATTCCTGAGGCATGCAATTGCAAGTGAAATGGATGATTACTTAATATTTAAGAAATTTAGAAAAAAATAAAATTGGTATTGTCATAATATGAAAATGTAAACATATAAAATATGATAAACCTTGACAAAATTATCTGGGAAGAAGCCTTTTTTGCCATTGAGTATGCCTTCACACCAGCCCTCCTGGACTTTTGTGACATTTGTTATGATATCTCCCACTTTTAAGTTCAATTCATCTGGCTCTTGTGCAACATATTCGTACTCCACTATAACATCCACTATGAAGAGTTCAATCAGTAACATTTATTTTTAAAATTACAATCATCATATGAAAATAAAATATTTGAAACTTTATATGATTATCAGAGCTTAAAAAAAAATGATATATATAAATATTTTTGGACAGCATAGTTTAAAAAGCCCAAATTAAAACGTTTGAAACAGCAATGTACTCTAAAAATAAAACCACAGCAACTCTTTAAAATTCAATTTGTTTTCAAACATCAAATGAAAACATATCAGCATTGTGAGCAATCAAATTTTTAATGAAAAAATAATTAAACTGTAAAGTAAACTAATACCGTTCTATTGAACCGACATTAAAAAAAACAACCAACCATAAGGCAAAAACATACTGAGTAAGATTTTAGAAGAAAAATAATTATGAACCTAAAAAAAATTGTTTTATTCAAGATAATCCATGGAACCAACAACCACTGCTCATTTTGCAAGTCAGAGCAGAAAAATAGTTTCTAAAAAAAACTTTAATGTTTGGAAATAGTACAAATACCAGACTACTTTTGGATTTGCTCACAAAAATTGAATCATTCTTTAAAAACCAAAAAGATAATTACATTATTCCAAGGAATGCATGTCAAGTACGTTACCTTATTTCAGCTCTTAACCAGCTGAATCTCAGTTAAAATGCATCAGTTGAAAAAATAAAATATTCCAACAAAGTTTTCTGATTGTGTTTACCACTACAATAACTCATTGATGCAATACATGCATGACATTATCTTCAAAAAGTGGACCAAAACAGATGGAACTTTTTACTTAACTATCATCCATCTTTTCAGGTAGTTAGTTTTTTACAACAGATTCACAAAAAAATAATAATAGACCAGATATGACTGCAATAATATATTATTTTGCCTTAAAAAACATTTAAACATAACTGAATTATATGAGACATAGATGGAATTCATCAGAGAATGAAAATATTGAGCCTGGACACATTTAAAAAAAAGTTGAAAATCATCATATCAACAATTATCACACGTCATTCTACTATAAGAAACTGCAGTGTTGATATAGAAAAAATATAGTCTGCTGAATTACTCATTACATATATTATATATGTTTATCACAGACATAATTAACATAGGAGTTGTTACAAGAAATTACTTTTGATAAAACAGTTAGTAAGTTAGTGGCAGCTCTTGAGCTTATTGTATTCTTTTTTAAAATTTTTCAATTTGACAAATTATTTAAAACTAAGCTACTTATTTACTTAAAGCATAACATACATAAGTGGTAAAACTTCTAAATTACAATTTTTATCCATATTATCTATTAGTCTAGTTTCTAGTGTCTACCCATTTTATTTTTAATAATAGCCACTGATAATGAAAAATTTTATGATTACTTTTATTTTATTCTTATAAAAATTCAAATATTGAGTTAAATATGCTAACTGAAACTTACAATTTACCTAATTATTATTTTTAAAAAATAGGAAAATTTTTTGTGACAATTTCAACAAACTAAGAACTTTTAAATTTAAAAGATTAGGAAAAAATTACTAAAATCACTGAATGTGAAAAGTAATTAAAACCTTTTCAAATTAAAATAAATAAGGTATACTTATAAATATAAAATAAAACCATAAGTTATTATTTATATTATATTAATTTTAATTTTTGATACTAAAGTTAGTTTAGTTGGTATAATAAATTATTTTATATAGTTTTCGATTTGACTTATTATAGATTATATTATACTAACTATAATTAGTCAATCAAAACAATATTATATATAAAATAAAAAAATAAACAGTTAAAACATAAAAGTAAAAAAAAGTAAGGAAATGTCAACAAAACGAGGAAGAATGTTAGCAGGTATCAACAAGGGTTGATGTTTGAATTGATTTGATTAGTAATTTAGTCAATCAAATTATTAGAAGGCTCCAAAAAAGATCACGCCATTTTCAGTAGGAGAAAAGTTTATATAACATTACAAAAAAAACACAAACAAATAATTAGAAAATAAAAATAAATCCCAGCTTTTTAAGAAAATTTATTTTGAACTAGAGTTAAAAAAATAAATGAGTATAAAAATTACTTTTCGACACCAACACTTCCAGCTCCCTCCTGAATTTCAGACGAGTTTTCAAACTTTAAAATAAAAAACAAATTAAAATTCAAATCAACACCGAAACAAAACACACGTTCATTGGGCAATGTTGCCTTTCATTCGTTTATTCGTATAACTCCAATTCCAAACTTTGTGAAAGTGAGTTGTAAAATTGTTCTATTATTATTTTAACTTACTATATGTTCAGAACTTATAATACCTGTCATCATAATAATACCTATATAATATTATAATACTTAAAAATGAGTAAAAATTTGTAAATTGTAATTTCATTTGACCGCTAGATTGTGTTTTTTATTATTTTGGTATATCTTTCATGAGAAAGACTCTTTACACTACTGCAAGCTATATTTCTGCATTAGTCAAAAGTTTCTTAGAGTTTTACAACTCATATATATATATATTATATATATATAATATGATATATATCTTATATATATATAGACATATGAAAGGATCTTTTATTCAACAAAAATTCCAAATAAATAGAAAAAAATTGTTAGGATGATTGAAATAAAACGCAAAGTTTATCGAGCCCGGACCACCTTTCAAAGGAGTTATCTTAAATATGAGTAATTTTAAACAGAAAGAGTACAGTGAAACTGTAAAAACAAAATTCTATTAGTTGAGCATTTTAATATATAAATAAAGACTAATGATAATTTAAAAAATAGTAGAACAATGTACGACCTTTAGTGGGAAGATTAAATTTGCATTTGTTGAACATTGAAGCAACATTCTTTATGTGAGGTACAAATGTTAATTTTTGATCTAGGTATATTCCTAGAAATTTGCAAATTTTAGTTTAACTTATACTTGCGTTGTCAATTGTAATTTTGTACGGCTCCTATAGTTTACGTATTGGACAGGACCGAATACCATCAACTGAGTTTTAGTTTTGTTTATTGTTAGTTTGTTGCTATGAACCCATTTAAAATATTTTTAAGTTCGTTACCGACGTCTTCATTAAGAGACACAATTCTGTGTCCGCTCCGGAAAATATTTGAATCGTCTGCGTACAGTACGAAGTCAAAAAACATTGACGAGTTACTGAGATCATTGATTTGTAACAGAAAAAGTGGAGGGCCCAGAATACTTAGCTTTCGAACCACTTAAGTATTGTGCCACGAAACCCACATACACATAATTTTAGAAGAAAAATGCTGTGATCGGTAGTATCAAACGCTTTTGATAAATCTAGAAAATCTCCCACGGTGAAAGTGTTTTTTCAGCTGCTTCTCCGATGAGTTTTATCAGTTCTATTATCGTCAACTCAGTAGAATATCCTTTCCTGAAGCCAAATTGATTTTTATTTAAGATGTCAAATTTTGAAATAAAATTTACTATTTTTGTTTGAATCAGTCTTTTCAAAATTTTTGAAAAACCTGAAAGCAATAAGATTGGCCTAAAATTTTCCACGTTAAAATTATTTCTCAGTTTTTGAATCGGAATTATTTTTGAAATTTTGAATTGATCTTGAAAAATACCAAGGATAGATTGAAGATGTGATATAATTGCTCTGCTGTTGCCTCAATTGTAGGAATTATGAATTTCATTGGAATTTCATCATTCCCACAAGAATACTTTTTTTAAAAGATCTTGTTGCTGAAATTACACCTTCAAGAGTGACGTTACCGTAGAAAAATGAGTTGCAGATTTTGCCCGGCATATACTACGAGTTGGAGGATTCTGGTTGTTAAAGGTTGCAACTGATACGAAATGTTCATTCAGACCTTCAGCAATTAATTTAGGATCATCTGAATCAGAGTCATTTACTGTCAAACATGCGTTTTTAATCTGACTTTTGTTAAGTTTCTTAGTCAGTTCATTTTAATATTTCAATGTTTCTTGGCTGTTTTGTTATGATTTTAAAATGTTATCATGGTAATATGCTTTTTTTACTGCATATACATACATATACGCAGTAATTTATTAAATCAACCGAATTTCTTTTATTACATTTCTCAATATTTTTAACAAAAAATTGCATTGAGAAATGTAATCAAAAAATTATCCAACGCAAGAAATTTGGTAGATTTTATAAATTATTACATTAATTATGGTTTTTTACAAAGTATATATATATATATATATATATATATATATATATATTTCTGCGACCAACCTACGTAATCTAACAATCGAACAAGATCGCGAGCAGCGACTTCTCCATCTCTCTCGAGAATTAGAAGTTAAAAAGAAGGTAGTTCAAGACTTGTCGAATCAAAAAAATCGAAAAGACGAACTACAAACATATTAACGCCAAACATTCGGTAGAATTTATAGAATATTGTAAAATTTATGGTCTATTACCAACATATATATATATATAGAATATTGTAATATATATATATATATATATATAGTATAGTAATATATATATATATATATATATATATATATATATATATATATATTACAATATTCTATAAATTCTACCGAATGTTACTATATTGTAAAAATTATGGTTTTTTACCAATGTATATATATATATATATATATATATAATAATTCAATAATACAATAATTTATTATTGTGATATTTAGCTGATTAAAAGATTGTTTCAATTCAAGTCAAAAATACCGTTATTAAGATTTTTGCGCCATCTAAGTTTTTCAATTTTTCGAACAATTATTTTATCGATATTATTTCATTTATTCAAATTATTAATAAAATTTTTAATTATTTTAGACTGCATTTTTTATATATTCATTTACATATTTCTACATACAAAAGCTTTTTTCGGTTACCTTTACCATCATCAGTGTAATAGAGTTTGTGATATTTTTATATGTAGTTCATCTGGTATTTATAGTATTTTTAACAAAGGAACCATAAGTTCCATTGTTTCTTTGTGTAAGTAATTTCTTTCTTGGTAGAATCGTTACAGCCTGTTGTTGGATGTTTATTGCAGGGTTTATATTTTCTATTAATAAAGCCTCCGTCATTCTCAAATTACTTATTTTATGTTTGTAATATAACACTTTGGTATTTGTTTAATATTATTATGTGGTTGGTATTCTTTGTAAATTGTATTATTATGTAGATAGTTCTGGTTCTCTATCTTGATGTTGCGATGAATACCGTATCCACATAGGAACAGGGAACTAGCGGATCACTGATGTGATGCTCGCTATCAAACTCGATTATCGTTAAACGAATGTATAGTGGCGACGAATTAAATTGATGACTTACGCGGTTTAGTTATTATGTTATTTACGACGATAAAAAATATTGTCTTTTAGCGAATTAAACACAAACTCACCCATTTTGGTTTTACAGTTCTTTTTCCAAAACAAGGTGATATATACGAATAAAATAAATTCTACGAATAAAATCTATTTGTATGTCTTGAGTCCTATCTGTTGCGTGAGTTCTGTTGTGTCCTTCCCGTCTTGTTTCGTCTCGTCTCTCGAGTAGACTCGTGTGTGTCTTATGTTCTTCTTCCCGTCTCGTCTCTCTGTCGTGTAGTTCCGTGTGTGTCTTCTGTAGTTCCTCCTCCGCTTAATGCTGCATCTCCTTATATAGGTTGCACATGGATCTGATTACCTCGTCTGAAATATTTTGCATACCAGTCGTGATGAATTGCGATCAAGTGTGTCTTTCTCTTATTTAATATTTCTCTGTTTGTGGTTTCATCTGTGTATGTGTCTGTGTGTATGCTTTTCGCTGCGTGAATATATTTCCTCTGTGGAACAATAAATACTACACTCTTGATGTACTTACTGTGTGTACATCTACAGCTCGAATGAATGATTAAAAGTATCATGAAACAAATTTTCATACCCTTCCATCAGAAAGTCGATCAAATTTAAAAAACTCAGATATAGAAAAAAAGTTGAAGTTTAGGATGGGTTCAATATGCTGAAATGATGCTATAGACAACATTAGGCTGATTTCAATAAATAAAACCAAAAAAATTATAAAATCTACATATGAAGGTGGAAAAATTATTGATAAACAATCTTTGAAATCTAATTTGTGCGTGGTTAGTAAAATTTAACATGAATAAATACAATTAATTTTAATTACTATTAAACGCAGTTAAATCTAACAAATAAAACCAAACATTCACGCAATGAGATAAAATGATGATTTGGACGCGTTTCTTTTCAAAAACGAACAAGAAGAGGTAACAGAAAATAACATGCTTTAGAAAAGAATTTGTCGTCGTATTATTCAACCTTCCGGCGATAACAGCGTAGTACTTTGAACGAGTCGTACTCATGCACTCGCATAAAGTTTTATTTTATTATTATTTATTTAGTATTATTTATATTATAGTTTTAAAGCAGTGTTATTTGGCATTGGTTAAACGTTAAAAACTTGAAGCCGGCGGTGTTTCTCTTCATGACGTCTAGACACGGTTCCAGCAGCCTCTAAAAGGAGTCCCTCTCCAAAAATGCGACCTTCACCTTTCCGTCTGCATACAGTGTGTATATATATATTTCTTAATAACTGTATATATGTATATATATATATATGTGTATGCACGTATATATATATATATAAAGATATATATAACATAACACATTCATAAATAAAATAATAAATAACTTGTTTGGGTTCCCTTATCGTTGTTGATTTTGTGCACGTTGTTCTGGTCGATTTTATTTTATAAAATTAGATATTTATTTAATTGAAAGATGTCTTCTCGGCAGATTATGTGTTGTCTGATTATACTTATATTGTAAATAAATTGCTTTCTAGTTTTGCTATCTTCTAATTTAAAACACGAAATTAGATGGCCGATTTAGGTTGCCTTTTCACTGACGTATTATGAGCGGTGCAGATGCGGGTGGTTTTGGACGTGAACTTCGTGGATGCCGGTGGTTGCGGTTTGGAAAAATCTTTTCCATTTGGGGCTCACAGAATTCTAATTCACTTAAATCCTTTAATTAAATGTCAAAGTTATTACATTAGAGTACTTTATAATCTAAGAAAATTTGATCACATAAGTTATTATTTCAGTCTATCTAAAATTATTCCAATAGCTAGGCTTTATAATATTTATCTCGCTTTTTTCTTCCATAAATTACTTATAA